CAGAAATAATGTTTCCGATTTTTTGAGTAAACAACAAGACATTGATACACATTATATCGTACTACCACGTAGGATGCAGAGTTAATCGCTTGTAAACAAGGCATAGAGTCGGAAGAATACAAATGCATTCTTCGTTCATGTCTGTAAAAGAACGTTTCTGTGCCGCACACGTTGGATGTGGCATCGGAAGATCGGAAAACACTTTGTCACTCGTCAATGCGTTTCGTTCAAGCGTGGCTCGCGATTCTTTAGCAGAAAAAAAAAAAAAAAAAAAAAAAAAAATTATGAGTTGTTCGCATTTCTCGGAGTGTTTTTCTTTTCTTTTTATGTGAAAAAATGTTTGAATATAAAAACATTTTGAATTTCGACTATGTTACAAATGTGACTCTTTGTTGCATTTGTACGTGCGATTGTGAATAGAGTCACGGTGCTTTTTAAAAAGTAAAAAAAAATACATGAAATTTTTGTTGCGCCAAGAAATAGAAAGACGTAAAAAACACATTTTATACACCAGATCGATATATAAACTTACTTAACCGCGAGAACGCTGCGAAATAAGAACCAAGGGAGAAGAGAAGAACGGGAACATCTGTTGGGGAGAGAAGACGGTCAGACGACAAAACGAGACAATTGAAGATTTTTACTACCGACAGAATTTCACCGAAGACAGCAAGAATTTACATTACCTTACTACGTGAAGAATAGTCTCTTTGGCAATTTGCCAAAGTATTTCGAATATTGCGCGCGAGATATCGGGGGAATTTTATTTTCGAAAGAGCTGACCAGTATCTATCGTATTTCAAAATTGAATCAACGCGGACGATTTGATAAAAATATCCATGTTATTAAATTGACCTGCTCGGAAGGATCGTTTTAATTGGTTTCAGTTTAAGTTGTAACACAATAAGAGAATTTCTTTTCTTTCATTAAAATGATTTTTGTCTCTTATTCTTCGATAAAGCTCAGTTATTTTAACACTGTTCAGTTACTCATTTGAGTAAATATTTATTAAATTTTCATGCGTGTAATTTTGTTCGGATAAATAATATCAAACAAAAATAATAAAATACATGTTTTACATGTAAATATTATATTTTATAGAAATTTTAATTTTATTTTATAGAAATTTTTTTTTATTAAACATACAAATCTTCGAGTATTTTATTGCGCTTTGCGTAATATATTGTGTTTCTCGCAATAATGAAACTAACATGTCGGATCGATTGTCCGGGGAGTTAATGCTTGGCATTTGTAAAGACCGATGTAATCGAAGAAACGCGAAAATTTTATAGATATAAATCGCGATGTAGTCTCCCAGGAATTCAATTTAGTCTCACGTCAACTGAGAACAATATACGAGTTAGCGCACATCGAACAGGACAAAAGGATTTAATGAAACATGGTTGTGACGACCGGTAACACTTTCCGGCTTACAAAACGAAATTATTCCGCGACATTTCGCGGAGTGACAAGCCCTGGAAATGTTTCAGAGAAATTAAATATTTACTTCATTAACATCATGAGAGAGCGGACTTCCAGCGCAGCATATTGCAGGAAATTTATTCACACGCTCTTGTCTCCTGTGTGTAATTTCATATTGCTTTTGGTTCAAATAATGATTAAAACCTTATTTAAGCGGATATTTAACTTCTCCATGTTCTATTATTTCAAATGCAATTACTTAAAAGTTAATCCGAAAAGTTTTATTCGAGCAAATGTGAATAGAAATAACATGGTAAATCTAATTTGCTGCAGCCCGTGTGAATTTCCGCAAATATACGTTTGCTGTGTACGCGCAAACTGTGCGTGCGTGTCCCAGACGATAGCGGAGCCAAAATTGTGCAATGTGACGCACCGTACACAGCTGCTGTTTACTTGTAACGTTCAACGTAGATTCGCGAGATAAAAGTATATGTATTAAGAGCGTACGATAATTTTCGAAACTTGTGTGTGCTTTGTACAAAATAAATCTTCTTATCTGTTAAATAGTTGTTACAAGAAACTTTGAGATAGGATTTTTCTCAAATATATATTTTCTCTATCTGACAAGAGTCTTACGTACGGACTTTTTGAGGAAGTTAATATTTCACTCGAGTTCACTGAATTTAATCAAACTCTAAGCATTTCAAATGTTCTGACAGAAGTTATTATCTGTGACTTCTGAACATGTTTTTTTACATAAAATATAACGTAATTCTTCTAATAATTTCCAAGAAAACAAAATGAGGTTCTTAACGATTGCTTTAAATAAATACTTCTATTTTTTATGATTATTTTATTATATTTTTACAATTTTTTATATAAAACTCTACTAGAATATATATTTACGTCAGCGACAATATTTAGTTACGAGAGAAATTCTTTCTGAGATTCATTCCGTCCGATAGTGTTTCAATGCGCTCGTGTACAAACGAATAAACCAGATCTCAAAAAACATCAACGTGGCGCAGAGATAATTTTCTTTTTTTTTTATACATATGTAAAGGTTTTAATTTTTTTTTTTAATTTAACTCTCATCCACATTACACCGCAAAATTGTGTATTACAATTGTGTGTCATATGGTTACAGACGTGCGCGTTGTAGCCATCACGCGCAGAAACTTGACGTCATGCGCTTCGCCGAAATTGAGTTTGAAGCGTCACTAATATAACGCTCTAATAACGTTAATTACACAGACGAATATTTCATTACCAATATTGCATCAAACTTGTTGTCCGTTTTCCTGTTTATGTTTGCCTCCCCTATTTGATTTCAATGATTATCGATTGTATTTAATCTGTTTTTAAGCAATACTTGTTTTTAGTGAAATGTCCCATATGGCGGTCTCGTATATGGTTTTATTTAACTCTCAATGCGCATTTTTCAAATAGATATCTTATCGCCAAGTGTTACGCTCCGATGACAGAAGATACGTTTCATTGTACTGCGTCGCGTTTAAAGGATATTATCAAACGCCCACAACCCTCCGACGTGTACATTGTCGCAGTTAATGCCAACGACATCTGACCGAAATATACAAACCGTTTCGGGGTTTACGTGTCGCCATAATATTACAAGCATGTTGCTGATTCTATTTAGTATGGAATGGGGGTTTAGTGAGTCAATATTAAATCAAAACGTCGAAATTCAAACATCAAACATAACATTAAACAGCGACAAGTGTTTGAACGTAATTAAATTAATTAATTAATTAATTAATTAATGCAGTGAGATATAATAACGTATATTTTTTTGCAATATAAAATATTTATTTACTTACTTGTTCTCATAAAACAAATATAAAATGCACGTCGGTTGTTAACTTCTAATTTTGATAACGCTTTATTAGTTGAGAAATATGTGGATTTTATGTAATGCGATAAAAAATTCACTCAGCCGATACGGAGACTCGTATCAACATGCCGATAAACACGATCGATACACGCGTTACGCGTCGCAATGTTCGGTGACAGGCGTTAAACGCTATGCATTTCCAGTTAAACTTGTGTCTCGCAAACAACGATATTCTCCTCCATTTTCATTTGCGCGTATGCATTTCTCGTAAACTAGGTGCGAGACGTAATATATTTTCAATCATGAACGGCATATCGCCGGTCACGCCGCGAGATTTAATTCATCCCTGACACGCGGGCGATCATTTAATTACGGCGCAGCTGGTCGGCATTTTGCGTATTATGTGTAGATTAATTCTCGCTCGTGGTTGTCTCCGCCGTGCGAGATCTCTCGTATATCCCGTTGAATTTTCATAAATCCGCCGTGCAACACGATTTATAATGTCGGCCGATACGTATCGCGCTGCCGCCCGCCGGCGCGTCACGTTTTTCCCCCGAAAAATTAGTGTCACAACGTGACAGACCCGTCGCTGCGCGAAACACGCACGTGACTTGGATCGACGACGTTCGATTAAAGTGAGATTTAACGTTATTGTAGAAACGCGCGCTGCGCTACGCGAGTTACCTTGAGCGTAGTGAAATAATGGGAATTGAAATGAAGTGAAATGCTGGAAACACATATCGAGCACGTCGTACCGGTATATTTTATTCTCGTGATCAATGCACAACGAACTCGGTTCATTTCCGGGCTTACAATTTTCATAAATCGTTTCGGCGTATTACCGGTTAATTAACATTTGCACGGCGTGAATCAAAATGATCAACGTTTTTGCCCCGCAGTTTTTTTTTTTTTTTTTTACACGCGTTATCACAATTATTACGAGAAAAGATTCAAGTTACAATTTGTAACATTTTACAAGAAAAAAAATTAATCAAAGGAAGAACGGAGAAAGAGATGAGAAGACAATTCAGATTAAAACACGTGACCGGAAATACAAACATGTCGGACTAAGAAGAGAAATACAACAAAAGTCTATTGTTCTCGGGATATCGAGCGAAAAATAAAAGAACAGTTGATCTTTCCTGCATTGTGTTGTATTTTTTCGTCGGTCGGTCAAGTATCTGCGCGTTATGTATTTTCTCTGTACCTCCATCCGAACTTAAAGTATATTTACGCGTCATTCTGAAGTATACTCGTGCGTGATATTGGTGGAAGCTTTGTCGAGAAACGTATATGAGAGATACTGTGGCGGACTTATAACAGAGTGGTGATCGATAATTTGAAGAAGCCAAAAAAAAAAAAAAAAAAAAATTAAAGGGCACGTTTGAAAATATTCTCTTGACATTTTCAGCACACCCGCGCATTTTATATATTAAGTTTACTTTTTTGTTTATTGATAAATTCTGCGTTTAATTATAAAAATATATACCGAATCGTCCCTTTCATCTTTATTATTCGTGTAATTATTTAATTAACATATTATATATAGAAATATTATACGTAATATATAATAATAATAAAAATTAATAATATAAATAAATTATAAAAAATGTGTATATTAATACCCCATTATTTTACGTTTATGCTTGAAACAACGTTTATCTCTCACTATAAGTAATCGATACCAAGAGGGATTATAACAACGACCGCGTTCGTTACGCTCCAGGTGACGTGCCAGGACGAAGAAGGCAGCCAATGCATACCAAAGAAGATGTTCATGGAGTTGCTGCGTTTACCGGAAGTGAATTCGAATTTAGCGGCCTATTCAAGAACGGCGAGGATCATTCAAGAAGCGAAGAACCACATGGCTCATCTGAAGGCTCTCAGCTCCGAGGAGAACGACGACGCTGAGATTTGTATACCCGGTGACATTTACTTAGAGCTCTTCAGGAATCCAAGGTTACGGGAATATCTCAATGCTATGGCGCGTACTCACAAGCTGCTCGACATACCCGAACGTCTTCTGGACGAGGAGATCGATATGATTCCCGAGACAGGAAAACGCAGCCTCGCCACGTTGGCCAAGAACGGCGACCTGCCGGTCACCATACGCGGCGACGATCACGAGACCGACGATGACGACGAGGAGAAGAGGAGCATCTCTATTGAGTATGTATTTAATAAAAAGAAAAAAAAATTTTATTATTACTATTAATATTTAAATACTCCATCCAAATAAAAAAAAAACCTTGTAGGAGCTTTAGGAAAATACGCAGTTTTTTAAACTTTTTATTAAAATATATTTACGCATTCTTTTTGCATCAGCGACAATATGCGCGAGTTACTGGAGGATTACGAGATGGACCGTCGACGAATGCCTCAGATCTACGATTATCTATCGGAAGTGGATCCGGAAGTAAACGAATACTCGATGGACAAACGCAACGTTGGCACTTTGGCGCGGGACTTCGCTTTACCCACAGGCAGACGTCACATAGCCTCTGTGGCACGCGATTACGGTCTGCCGAGCGGCAAGAGGAATGTCGGTTCTTTGGCGAGACAGAGCATGTTGCCGTCAACCGGCAAGAGGAACGTAGCCGCGTTGGCTAGAGACTCCTCGTTGCCTTACGGCAAACGATATCTCGGCTCGCTCGTCCGAAACGGCGGCTATCCACGCATGTACGACGAGAATAAACGCAGCATCGCGTCGCTGGCCAGAAACAGAGACTTCCCGGTGTTCGAGAAGCGAAAAGGCGGCTCGGCGTCGGGCAGAATGATGGCGCGAGTGCTTAGTCGTCACGGTCGATCTCTGAGCGACGATCGCGAGACGCAAAGCGAACCCTTAGATCTTCAGCAGCTCATCCGACAGGGACACAACGGCGACGAGAACGGCAAGGAGAACGCAGCCGGAAACTGGCAGATCGTTCCTTTCAGCGTTTTGGAGAATCTGGACGACACCAAGGCGAAGAACAGATCAAACAGAAGGATGGACGCTACGTCGCAAACGAGACACAAACGACAGCTCGACTTCTCCGACGAATATCCGCTTCCCGTCATGCAGAGCAACAATCTATTCGATTACGAGGACATGCTCGAAGCACTCGGAGATCGCTATCCGAACGCGGAAAAGAGGTTTTTGGGTGAGTAAAAAAAAAAAAAAAAGTTTTGTGAATAATTCAATCGAAATGTTGTCGCCGCGTGGAATTAATTTCTGGGAATCTCCTCGTGAATCTGTTTTATAATAACCATATTTTTTCGCGTCGGAGATATTTCTCCGTCAGAAAATTCTCATGCATATTTTAAATTAATTTATGCAAAAAATTAATTCGCTTCAATTATTTATTTATTTTTTTTTTTATTCTCGCTAAATATTGTCGCGAGTTTTTCAAGAGTTTTAATAAAAAATTACGCGATAATTTTTTACACTATGTAGCGGAGAACTACGTCATGTTGTGACTGCAGCAATGCTCCAATTTTTCAACCGTTCTATGTTACGGGAACAGGTTCCGCGTCGGGGATGCCGACTGACTCGGGCTACCCTGAAGTATTACAACCGAGTAAGAGACATATCGGAGCCCTCGCACGCCTCGGTTGGCTCCCGTCGTTCCGTTCACCACGATTCTCTCGGTCGCCGCGATATCTGGTCGACAGGTCAGGCCGTTAGGCAGCCGCTCTCTCTCTCTCTCTCTCTTTCTCTTTCTCTTTTTCTCTCGTATCTCCTTCGTGGTGTTTTTCTCATACATATGTGATGTGTCAATCGTTTTAGTCGTACTCAAAGTAGTAATCTACCTATCAGAGACTGAGAAAAAAAAACCTATCGTATTTCTGTGTGTGTGTCAGTACCGACAGATATATACATATATATCTCTAAGCCACGCCACGTCACGTCACGTCAATGATAACTAAATCAAATACGTACCAACCAACCAATCAACCAACCAACCAACCAACCACGTACAACCATCATCTACAATTACCACGTACAAAAAACAATACGTTCTTCAATAGTGTCTTCTTCTTCTTCTACCACTACCACGATATACCATCTCAGGATTACTCACTACGGTAGCTAGGTGTTTCTATGTCTCAGTGTAATGTCTCGCTGTTAGAGAGACTAGCGGCTCAATGTGACTAGATATATATATATATTCTTAGATCGCTGGTAGAGATCGATGTTAGACAAATTAGACGATGTAGAATTGGTGTTTAGTTTGTTATGTTTATTCGGTGTGTTGTTTATTCTCAGTGTGTTTAATCGAATGAATTCCAACGTTAATGTCTTATCACAAGAGTTGCGCGGAGAACTTCGGTCTCTCTGGCATTTTAAAATGTTTTAAATAGTTTTTTTTTTACGTTGGAAACCATTCGTGGTTATTTTTATATATGGTTTTCAGAGAGCTTTAACGAAAAGAAAGCAGTGTTACATCTTTGAGAACGGTTTTTTAAATATTATTTCGCGCTTTTTTTGCAATAATATTTTTGTATGTACAGATTGAAGTATTATTGTTAATTGTATTGGATTTATACTGATGGCAAATACGAGAATACATTTACGTTGTCGTGCGGCAGATTATTTTTTTATCTGTTTTATTATTATTTTTTTTTTTTCCACAGAGAAGTGGTACTCTCGTATAATCGATAAATATAGGATGTGAAACTCATTGAAAAGCACTGCGTGTTACACCGCGATGTTACGTACTCGATATTCCAGTGCTGTCAGAGTTGCGAACATTAAAAGCTTAATTAGATAATATACGAGCTTTATTAACTTTGATCTAAAACTTTTTTATATAATACACTCACCACGTTTGATATTTGTATCTTTTTTGCTTTTTATAAAAAAAAAAACAATCAAACTTACACGTTCGTAAAGTAATTACATATTCTCAAGTGATGTATATTTAATATTTAGTTTCGCCAATTTCTACCGATGCGCAAATAACTTTGTCAGCACTGAACGTTACAAATTTGTTCAAATTTGTTACATGTTTAGAAGCGGATCCGATGTTTCCAATTAGTGGTGTTTCAAACGAGAATAGCGTTTTCGTGTGATATAACGAAGACAAATAATAAATTTCAGGGAGAATTCCGCAGATGGGTCCTCGTCCAACTACACCCCCGACGCGTCGACTCGGTCACTAAGGCCGATGTTCTCCCCGAAAACTCGCTGCTTGCAGTCCCTGTACGGAGATTGTCGACACGGCTTCAAGAGGTTCTTAATGTTACCAGACATCGATAACTACCTGCAGACGTCCAACACGCGCATCGCGTCCCGTACCATGTAAAATCCTGAATATTGTTTTGCTGTTCACATTCCGGAGCAGCACCGCCGTACAAAACAAATTAAAAAAAAAAAAAAAAAAACATCAGACTCACGCGTGTAATAAGAACAAAACGAGAGAAGAAAACACACAGTACGCAAAACAAAACAAAACAAAGAACTGTAAATAATATTCGCACATACTGGGTCTGATAATCTTCCTTATCGATATTTGGTCATTTCTTGCCGGCAACGGATACGCATTTCGATATTACAAAATAATTAATTATATCAGAAATAATATTTGTCAGAGAATATTTATTGATGTTGAAGAGAGAAAATTTATTAGAAGAAACTATAGAATTGATTGAATCTAAAATTATATAAAAATCAGAATGTAATAGAAATAAGAACAATTGGTCGCGCGTATACATATAAATAACAATTTATCAGCGACAAATTTATTATAATTTGAGAAAGAGAAATTAATCTAATCGCGCAGGACAGATTCGTCGATCGACAATAAGTCTATATCTCGCCGACAATAATATCTTACGTAATTCTAACGCAACGCCTTAATTGTGCCGTCTGTCCCGAACAGATTTAAAAACTATTAAAACGCAGAATATGTACGTCTAAATAAGATTTCGATTTACACGTACGAATTTTTTCCTCATTCGAAAGAAACTTCTTTCCACGCTCTCAGTTCTCGAGACCCATATGTTATATTACGTAAAGAAGAAGAAGGTTTTATGCGTATCATCGATAGTGTACCAGTTTCTGCAGAAAAAAAAGACACACATTTCTCTTAATATATTTATATCTTAATATATTCGTCTCTTGATGTTGACATATAATATATTACTGTAACTCTTAACTTTTAAATCTTAACTGTAACTTTTGTAACTTGTATCTTTTAAAGCAAAGTGAGAAATATCTTTTAACGACGATTAATCGACAATAACCGACAGATCAGCTATTTAAATGACAGTTCTCTTGATTGTTAACATTAATTTAATTCGATTGGAAAAAAAGCCTGATAACTAATCGTTCGCGAATGATTTATCGAGAAATAGTTGTTCTCTGTCGCGCGATTTTTTTTTATCGCAATAAATAAAACCATTGATCAATTCGATCGTTTATTTGTATATAGACAGTATAGACTTAGTTGTTTTTTTTTTCTTTCGATAATAAATCACCGCAAGAGCAAAATATTTTACTCCACACACACGTACGCGCGCGCGCGCACAGAGTTTCAATTCAAACCGAATGTAACCGCGAGTGAGACCGTACGGCATTTTAATGATTATGACTTAGCTCGGACCTGACGATAAATCATCGTGAAATCGAAACATTTTATACGCCCGATTATTTTCTGACACGTAATCATACGAGGGAATTGTGGTTTGCATACGTCAATTCGTCTGTTATTTAACGAAAACATAAATCGTCGTTGAACGAACTATGTAAGAATTTACTAAGTAGCGTCACGAAGTAGATATGCGAAATGTATAAAGATGACCGTATGTGAGATATGATACACACACATACACACACCATATCAAAATTGTCGTTAGCCTCCGGATATTTCTCACCGAGTTGCGAACATATACTTTTAACGTTTATTGCAAAGTATAGAAAACACTTTTTCGAATGTAAGAAACTTATATAGATAACACGATGTCCGCGGTGTCTGCCCTCACATATCTGTAAATCGTCGTCTTGTCTCTCTTCTTCTTTATTTTTTTCTCTTTCCGAAATTCTTCGCGAGAACCTCGACTATGTGTTCGCATGTATATGCGAAACAAGATCGACGAAGCCGGGAAATAATCTCCGCGAGCGTAGTAATATGTAAAACGGTGTAAACGCCAAATTTAGTGCTCAGAGCTTGGAGCAAGCTCAACAGTAATAACGCGAAAATTCGGTTTCATATCTTCTTAGGTCCCCCTCACCTTTCTTCCCTCCCCTTTCCCCCTCACCCCACCCTCCCCTCACTGTTATGTCTCGTTTAAATAACGTGTCGTTGTGTAATATCGTACGTTGTAACCGCACGTATATGTAACAAGTCAAAATATACGGCTCGATGTCGCGGCATCATCGATCCTATCTCTCATTGCTGTGGATGACATATAAAATCTATATCAACTCTCTTTAACTCTACAATAAAGTATACTATGTGTTTGTCTAGACAATAATGAGAATAACCATAACGTGGACAATAAAGCGATAATAATATTGAAGTAATAAACGTCCCTATTTTATTTCACGAGTACAATTGTCCTCCGTTTTTGGATCTTTAGCGCCGGTGTGCGAGTAATTCCAATAGTTCATAAATCGTCGTGCACTCACAAATGTAACATGTGATTAGAACCAGAGACAAGAGGAAGACAATTGAATCAATATATGGATAGAACGTAACAAAAATTTTATTGAATACTTTTTATTGTTTGATTTTTTTTTATTATTTTTATATATCATTTATCATGTCACACATATGTGTGTTCGCGGACAATAGTACTGTGTAGTTACAATTTGTGAAAAAAAAAGTAGAAGCAAACAACATCCTTCCGTAATCCTAAATGTCCTACTACGATATGTGATTTAATTTGTATGTTAACCGAGTCTCAGCAATGAAATAAAGAATTGCAGAAGATGTTGTGCTTATTGTAGAATTTATTTTTATCATGCTTGGGATATTTTTGGTGTTTGCGGAAAATTTATGCCGCAGAAAATTTATATCTACTGTCCTATAACAACTCTTATTACCCAATCAATGACGATGCTGAACAAATCTTTTATTTGCGGTTCGCTTGGATCTTCTATCAGAGATAATTTTTCGGGTCCCACATCTTCTTTTGGTTGTGACTTATCGGGATCTTCGGCCGGTTGTTGTGACTCATCGGGATTATTGTTGTCATTAAGGTCGCCGCTTCCATCTTTTTCGTTTTCACTATCGTTAGATGTATTGTTGTTGCGTTCGTTGTCGTTACTTCCCGAGTTATCAACAGGAGGTGACGCAGGCGGCTGATTATTATTGACATTACCGGAATTTTTGTTGTTTCCGTTTGTGTTACCATTCACCGCGTTTCCATCGACGTCGTCGCTACCATTTGATATATCATTGTTGCTGTTATCATTACCGGAGCTGTTAATTATTAGAGGCGACACACTGCGTCGTTTTACATTGCCCGACTTAGAATTGTCGCCATTGCCGTTGCCGTTTACCAAATTTCCGTTGACACTGCTGTCGCCGTCCGAGACCTTGTTGTTGTCGTTATCATTTCCAGAATTTTTGATGATTAATGGGGATAATTGTGCAATGCCACTGTTTTCGACATTACCGGAATTAGAATTGTCGCCGTTGTTGTTCCCGTTCACCAAGTTCCCACTGTCACTGCCGGAATTGGAATTGGCGCCGTTGGCATTCCCGTTCACCAAGTTCCCACCGTTATTGCTGTTCGAGACTTTGTTATTATTATTTTTATCTCCAGATATAATAATAAATGGAACGGGAGTTGGTCTGTTATTCGCGACGTTACCGGAATCAGAATTATCGCCATTCTCGTTTCCGTTTACTATGTTACCATCAGCATTATCGTTGCCATTTGAGACGCTATTGTTACTATTGCCAGTTCCAGA